GCCCATTCTGGACATTCTTCGTGTTTCTTCTTTTTGGTGGCCAGTCCTCGTCGGGGACAGGGTCGGCCGCTGGGACCACAGGTGGCCAGGCCTCGTCGGGGACAGGGTCGGCTGCTGGGACCACAGACCCCACAGAAGGTGCGAGCAGCATGTTCACTTTTGCCTTTGGTGCTGCGCCCGTTGGGGCAGGGCTCGCACCCCCGGCGCTGCCCCGAGCTGTGCGCGGCCGGCCAAAGAGAGGGATCGGGTGTCGGGAGCCCCCAGGACCCGGCCATCTGAGGGAAACGCTCTTCCTGCCGGTCTTCCCCGCCAGGGAATGTGAAACGGGGCATTTATTTTTTTGATTTAATCTTACGGCCACTAAAACATAAAGGAGGGTAAAATTTAGAGTGTCAATTTCAACATTTCCATGAAAGCAGTGATGGTTTTTAGGTAAATATTAAAGGTTATCCTTGCACTTCTGAGAAAGCAAACAGAATTAAAAATACAAATTTTAAAAAGTATGCCAGATGAGTTAGAATGTATGTTCATGAGTCTGTGAGTCAAAATCAGCAAGAATACAGACCTTTACTCTTGTTTTTTAGAAAGTAAAACGAACCCCATGTTACATTCCCCTCCCGCTCCTCTCCCTGCCTTCCTAGATGCATCCCAGCTGGCAAATTTTGTGCTTCGCCAGTTACTTTCTCTAATAATGATAGGATGGCAGCCAGCGTGGTGCTCGGTGGTGTGGACCTTCCCGTAAGAGTTCGTCGACAGTAAGTCACGTGATCGTAATAACCAAAGGGCGAGTACGGTTGTTGTTTTCATTCTACAGATGAAGAATTTGAAGCACAGAGAGGTCGAACAACTTCCCCAGGCCACACAGCCAGTGCCGCCGGAGCCAGCGCTCCGGTCCGAGCGTGCCGACGCTGAATGGCGCACGCGCATCTGGACTCACGAACAGAAAATGTCCGCTGAGCCTCCAGAATGAGCGGTGTTTTGTGCAAGCCCTCTCGTTAATTTCAGTAAACGTTGCCATTCGTAGCCCTTTGCAACGTGACATCTTCACGAAATATTTTTGATTCTTATTCTTTGTGACATAGACCTACTGTGTTTAACCGCTGGGAGGCCTTGTGTTCTCCGCTTGTGGTACAATTGTGTGTTTCTCTCTACTGTCCATCTGTTTATTCCGGGGGAACATCTCTCAGCACGTATAGGTACAACCCGTATTTTGTGACGAAAATGTTAAGATCCACTCTCTTGGCGGATGCAGTTTTTAACCATTAGCAAAATTGAAGTCCAGCGCAGTGAGGACACGGTGTAATCCTAGTTTCAGGTGTACGATACCGTGATCCCACAATCCCATGCGTCGCCCTGTGTTCATCGTGTCAGGTGCCCTCCTTCATACCCACCACCTGTTCCCCCATCCTCCCACCCACGTCCTCTCTGGCGACCATCAGTTTCTTCTCTAGCGTTAAGTCTCGTTCTTGGTGTGCATCAGTTTTGTTTCTTACATTCGACATACAAGTGAAATCATGGTATGTGCCATCCTCTGACTTATTTTGCCAGCATTATACTTGGCACCTCCATCTGTGTTGTTGCAAATGGCCAAGTTTCATTATTTTTGTGGCTGAGTAATATTCTATTATATATGTAAATACCACATCCTCCTTATCCGTTCATCACCTGATGGACACTTGGGCTCTTTCCATAGTTGAGCTGTTGTAAGTAATGCTGCTATAAACATCGGGGGGGGGGGGGTGTATCCTTTCAAATTAGTGTTTTTGTATTCTTTGGGTAAATAGCCAGTAGTGCGACTCCTGGATCAGATGGTATTTCTATTTTTAGTCTTTTGAAGAAACTCCACACTGTCTTCCACTGGCTGCACCAGTCTGCATTTCCACCAACAGCGCACGAGGGTTCCTTTTTCTCCACACCATCCCCAACACCTGCTGTTTCTTGTGTTGTTGGTTTTAGCCATTCTGACAGGTGTGAGGTGATGTCTCATCATGGTTTTGATTTGTATTTCCCTGATGATGAGTGATGTTGAGCGTTTTTTCATGTGTCGGTTGGCCATCTGGATGTCTTCTTTGGAGAAGTGTCTGTTCGTGTCTTCTGCCCGTTTTTAAATCGGGGTATTTTCTTTTTAGATATTGAGGTATTTAGGTATTGATGCTGTGGCCGATGTCAGAGACATTACTGCCTGTGCTCTCTTCCAGGATTTTTATACTCTCGTGTCTCCCATTTAGGTCTTTCATCCATTTTGAGTTTATTTTTGTGTCTGGTGTAAGAAAGTGGTCTGGGTTCATTCTTCTGCGTGTCGCTGTCCAGTGTTCCCAGCACCACTTGCTGAAGAGACTGTCTTTATTCCACTGGATATTCTTTGTTCCTTTGTTGAAGATTAGCTGACCCCATAGTTGCGGGTTAATTTCTGGGTTTTCTGTTCTGTTCTGTTGATCTACGTGTCTATTTTCGTGCCGGTACGTACTGCTTTGATGACTACAGCTTTGTAATTTAGCTTGAAGTCTGGAATTATGATACCTCCAGCTTTGCTTTTCTTTTTCAAGATTGCTTTGGCTTTTGGGGGTCTTTTGTGGTTCTGTACAAATTTTGGATTGTTTGTTCCAGGTCTGTGAAGAGTGCTGGTGGTATTTTGATAGGGAGTGCATGAAATCTGCGGACTGCTTTGGGTCGAACAGACATCTTAGCAGTGTTCTTCCAACCACGAGCATGGACCGTCTCTCCATTTCTTTGTGCCCTCTTCAGTTTCGTTCAGCAACGTTTTGTAGTTTTCGGAGTACAGGCCTTTCATCTCCTTGGTTAAGTTTATTCCTAGGTATCATATTATTTTTGGTGCAATTACAAATAGGATTTTTTAAAGTTTATTTATTTATTTTGAGAGAGAGAGAGCGTGTGAGCAGAGGGAAGGCAGAGAGAGAGAGGGAGGGAGAGAGAGAATCCCAAGCAGGCTCCGTGCTGTCAGCGCAGAGCCCGACATGGGGCTCGATCCCATGAACCATGAGGCTGTGGCCTGAGCTGAAATCAAGAGTTGGACACTTTACCAACTGAACCACCCAGGTGCCCAGGATTGCTTTTTAAATGTCTCTTTCTTCTGCTTCATTATTGGTGCTTAGAAATGCAACGGTTTTCTGTACATTGACTTTGGATCCTGCGACCTTATTAAATTTGTTTGTTTTAGTAGTTTTTTGGTGGGGTCTTTAGGGCTTTCTGTATGTGGTATCATGTCATCTGTAAATAGTGAAAATGTCACTTCTTCCTTACCAATTTGGATGCCTTTTGTTTCTTTTTCTTGTCTGATTGCTGAGGCTAGGGCTTCCAGGACTGTGTTGAATAACAGGAGTGAGCGTGGGCATCCTTGCCTTGCTCCTGACCTTAAGGGAGAAGCACTCAGTTTTCCCCCATTGAATATGATGTTGGCTGTGGATTTTTCATATCCGGCCTTTATCATGTTGACGTCTGTTCCCTCTAAACCTACTCGTTGAGAGTTTTTATCATGAGTACATGTTGTACTTTGTCAAATGTGTCCTATGTATCTGTCGAAATGATCGTATGGTTCTTATCCTTTCTCTTATTGATGTGATGCATCACATTGATTGATTTGTGACTATTGAACCACGCTGCAGCCCAGGAATGAGTCCCACATGATCGTGGTGAATGATTTTTTTTAATGCACTGTTGGATTCGATTTGCTAGGATTTTGTTGGGGATTTTTGCATCTGTCCATCGGAGATATTGGCCAGTAGGTCTCTTTTTTCTGTAATGGCTCTATCTGGTTTTGGTATTGGGGTAACGGATTTTAGAGATGACTTCAGGTGGTGTTTGGATACGTATTGTAATGACCAAAGGAAGGTGGGTGTGTGGTGACAGCTCTGAGTCAATAAAGAAGCGTTGGAGGTGGACCCAGCTGAGTCCTGGGGAAGCAGCCCTCACGGGAAAGAGGTCAGTGACCCTACACTTGGCCAGCTTAGTTCTCTGCCATTAAACACACGTTGGCATCTTTGGTGAGAGTTCCTGCTTGACTAACCAGCTGGAAAATGGAGTATTTAAGTGGGAAGATCAGTCTCTAACTACCTTGTCTTTCTCAGGGAGTGTTATGGGGCGAATGTGTCTCAGACCATGACCTAATTTGGATATAATTAGTTAAGATGACGAAGTAGGGTGTCCAATATTACTGGTGTCCTTGTCAGAAGGGGACCCTGGGACACAGGCTTCCAGGGAGAAGGTGGGTGAACGTGAGAGCAGAAACTGGTGATTCTTCTCCGGCCGAGGACTGCCAGCCATGAGCAGAAGCGGGGAGACGCCTGGAGACTTCCTCGCCCGGGGCCTTCGAGGGCCTCCAGGCTGTGTGAGAATCTGGTTCTCTCACAGCCCCTGGCCTGGGGCACGGGGCTCTGGCCGTCCTGGGAAGGTGATGCCGGCAGAAGAGGAAAGGAGAACATGGCAGACGTACCAGGAGGGCGCCGACCAGAGGGCTTTCCGTCGGGAGCCGCTGGCGCCTCTGGGCGCTCGGGCCCTGCAGGCCTCCTCCCTCGAGCTGGTTTGAGCTGGAGTTTTGGAGGCTGCAATGTCTGCTTCCGGGCCCTTCTGCTGTGTGGGCGTCGCTTGTGTAGGAGGCCTTGTTTCGTCTTTAAAGATACGTCCTCGAGGGTGAGGGTGAATCTCCCTTGGGTTATGTCACCGGCATTTTACGTTTGGGTGGGAACCTCGCTTCGGCCGCCGACGGGCGTTTGCCTTCTTTGTGGACCGTTTGCTGTCTGTTGCGAGAAGCAGCCAGTGCATGTGGGGTTCCGTTCAGGACTACGTGTCCGTTGTGGTCAGCCTGGAACCCGGAGCCCTGCTCGGGTGCGTCCCGCCCGGTGGCCGCTCGGCCAGACAACTGCCGTCTCTTCCGCCCGCGCACTCTGCCTGACTTCCGCGGGCGTGTTTCTGCCGGCCACCTGGGTAACTGTCCCGTTCTTGCCCCCACAGAGTCCGTAGAGGAGCAACAGCAAGGCTTCCAGATGAACAACCGAAAGGAAGACATGGAGATTGCGTCCCATTACCGGCACCTGCTGCGGGAACTGAACGAGCAGCGGCAGCACGGCGTCCTGTGCGATGTGTGCGTCGTGGTGGAGGGCAAGGTCTTCAAGGCGCACAAGAACGTCCTGCTCGGCAGCAGCCGCTACTTTAAGACGCTGTACTGCCAGGTGCAGAAGACGTCCGAGCAGGCCACGGTCACGCACCTGGACATCGTCACGGCGCAGGGCTTCAAGGCCATCATCGACTTCATGTACTCTGCCCACCTGGCCCTCACCAGCAGGAACGTCATCGAGGTGATGTCCGCCGCCAGCTTCCTGCAGATGACGGACATCGTGCAGGCCTGCCACGACTTCATCAAGGCCGCGCTGGACATCAGCATCAAGCCCGACGCCTCGGACGAGCTCTCCGAGTTCGAAATCAGTGCCCCTCCCGGCAGCAGCACGGACGCCCTCATCTCGGCCGTGATGGCGGGACGGAGCATCTCCCCGTGGCTGGCCCGGCGCACCAGCCCCGCCAATTCTTCCGGAGACTCGGCCATCGCCAGCTGCCACGAAGGGGGCAGCAGCTACGGGAAGGAGGACCAGGAGCCCAAGGCTGACGGCCCCGACGACATTTCTTCGCAGCCGCTGTGGCCCGGGGACGTGGGCTACGGGTCTCTGCGCGTCAAGGAAGAGCAGATCTCCCCGTCTCATTACGGAGGGAGTGAGCTCCCTTCCTCCAGGGACGCGGTGATACAGAACTCTTTCTCGGAGCAGGCTGGCGGGGACGGCTGGCAGCCCACGGGTCGCAGGAAGAACCGGAAAAACAAAGAGACGGTCCGGCACATCACACAGCAGGCGGAGGGCGATAGCCGGGCCGGCTCCCCGGTGGCCCCTTTCCTTTCGACGTCCGGGTGGCCATTCGGCGGCCGCGACTCAAGTAAGCCTTTTGTTTTCGTGGGCGGGGCTCAGACGCTGGCGGCCCAGACGCGTTGCTTGTGCTGCAGGGGAACCAGTGTGGGCCAGCCTCACACCGGGGCCTCCCACGGGCCGCCTCCTTTTGCAGCAAATTATGTGAGTGCAGGGAGTGTGACTCTGGGTGCCCCCGTGTCCCTGGTGCACAGAGGCCGCTTGATGATGTAGGGCTTCTCTGTCGCCGAGGGGTCGGTAGCTGGAAAAGTGGGTGACGTCTGGTGCGGGGGCAGTTTGAGGGTCTGTGTTCCTTTATCCAGGGAGTGTTTCGTCAACACTGCTTAGGAGAACTTAATTTTAAAAGGTTGAAACGTGAAAATGCTAAGCGGTGCAAAAGTGCATCAGGTGAGGTGACGTGAAGGTGGGTTGGGACCCCACCCCACACCTCAGACCCTCACGGTCCCGTGGCCTCAGCTCTGCGTTTTCTGTCCCCACACCGGGGTCTTGGTCACTGTTGTGAGTGTTGGACAGGCCGTCACACGCACCTGTTTTATCCCTGGTAAAAAGCTTGTCTTCAGCTGGGGGGACTTGAAGACTTCCGCCTGAAAAGCCCCCCTCGCAGGGAGGGATGTTTCCTTGTTTCCAGTAAGTGCGGGTCCAGTGGTTCAAAGTAATACATGTTTTTTCTCGCAGCCGCCGGATGTTGCTGTGCTACGCGGGGAGGGGGCGCTGAGCACGCGTCAGACCCTGTGCGTCAGGTTCAAGGTGGCTCTAAGCTCAGCTTTGCGGAAGCTGGTCCTCGCACCCTGGATGGTAGTTTTGTGCCTGTCTCCCAGACAGCGGATGATACGTTAAGTGTTTGTTGAAACACCAGACACCGTCCTGGTCCTGGGCGCGTAACGGCTACTGTTACGCATAAGCGCCCTTCCAAGTGGCGGACTGGGGGGCAGGCTCCCTCCACCCCCAGCCCAGCCCCGGGTGCACTGGGGTCCAGAGGCTGAGGAAGGGTCTTCGTGGGAACAGAGTTGGTCCAGAGCAGGATAGAAGCTTCTTAGCAAGTTCTCGTCCAGGGGAGGCCCCTCTGGGAAGGTCACAAATCACCTGCAACACGAGAACGGACAGGCGTGAAGGCAGCAAGCTAGGGTCATAGCCCTGGAAAGTGTCACAGTTGCCAAGCATCCTGTGCTTGGGGGCAGGAAGGAAGCTTCCCAGGCAGGGCCGGCAGGCCCCTGGACATTCTGGCTCCCACGCTCAGCTCTCCATGCGTTAGCTTTTATTATCATGGTGAGATATACGTGCCGTAACCTCTACTGTTTTAACCATTTCTGAGTCTATAATTTATTGGGATTAAATACGTTCACACTGTTACGGCAACCATCATTACCATTTATCTACCAGACCGAGACTCTGTACCCGTTGAACGGAACCTCCCCGAGACACGCTGTCACCTGTGTTGTCACTCTCTGTCACTGTGTGTTCCCAGCCCAAAGCACAGGGCCAGACCCCTGAATGCTCACTTCAGGTTGGTCGAAACACAGCCTTTCGACCTCGGGCTGGATGGCTCACTGCCGCGGGGGTGTCCCGGGTGCCCTAGGGCAGCAGCAGCTCTGACCTCCGTCCACTAGATCCAGTAGCCACCCACCCCTAGTCTGGCGACAGCAGAAGTGTGTCTGGACGTTGTAAAGGTCCCTGATGGGCAGCACCCCAGAACTGCTGGAGGTTCACTGGAGAAGAAGGTTAAGTGTCTGAGCTGCTCGAAGAGCCGTCTCCCTGCTGGCTGTCTGTGGGGAGAGGACACTCCGTGTGCTCCAAACTGTTCATAACCTCTCACCGGCTCTGACCGAAATCTGAGAAGCAGTCTGTGGCACATGACCTAAGGACAGCTGCGTCGTGTCCAGCCTTCTGGGCCAGTCGGTGCCGCAGTCCCGTCCTGGCGAGTCCCGTCCTGGGTGTCGAGGGCCGCCCAGCAGGCTGTGACGCCGGGGGGCCTTGAGGTTGAGGGCCCATCAGCGCAGTAAGGAATGTGCTCTCCTCAGGCCTGTAGGTTTGAGGCTTTGAGTGCAGTAGTCAAGCAGAAGGTGTTTTTAGATTCCAACAAGTGACTTCGACCGTGTACTTTTGTTAATGTCTTAAATCCCCTGGGTTTCCAAGGCAACTGTGAACAGCTTCTGTTAGATTATTCTGAGCTGCTGAGGCAGGGATGTGGGGTTGGAGGCTCGCATAGGGTGGTTTCTGCCCTTGGTGGTGGTGGTGGTTTATCCCTCCATCCTGGCCCTGGGGCTGGGCTTGGCAGCTCAAATTGTGATTCCCAGTGGGGGCCGGTTTGTTTCCACTAAAGATTCCTTACCTCTTCGGGAAGAATGCCTTTAAATTCTCCTACTTGCAGGAGCAAAGGCCCTGTTCCAGAAGAACTGTCAGGTGGTTTTCGCACATCCCTCAGAGGCTCGGATGCTCGGCTTTGCCGCCAGGCCCGCCTGTGTCCCCGGCTTGGCTTTGGTGATTCTGAGGCCTCTTGGCGTTGGAGAGTGATTTTTTCCAAAAGGGCCAAGAGCATGTGAACCTAGTGGCCTCCGAGGTGTCGTTGGAATTCGCTCGTACGGTCACTTGTGTGGCAGCTTGGGGGAAGTGGTGTCCACACGCACAGGTAGGTTGCACGTACTCGGCCGCGTCCTCCTCGGGTCCCGGCCTCCCCCCTCGCGTGTGACCCCACGGCGGCCACAGACCCCCAGGAGGCGATCTGTAGCCGCTGGTTCACAAGCGGGAACGGGAAGGGCCCAGGCGCTCGTCCTAATGTCCCACACACGGCCTAAAAAGTTCCACCAAAAAAGAGAGTTCTGGAGCCAGGATAAAATGGGTCTGTTTTGTAAAGTAAATGTTTCTGCCTGAACTTCTGTAAAGTTGGATCTTGACATAGTGGGATCTTGAAGAACACGTTTGGGTGGGTGAAGGTGGTCTCTGTAGGCTCCCAGCCGACCCCTCATGCCCTTGCAGCATTTCCTGGGCAGGGAGGGGGCAGGTGCACCACCTGTCAGGCCGAGGTCGTCATGGGGGCTGAAGTGGGGGCACCAGATGGGAGGGGAGACATCCCCCACTGCCCGTCCTCAAGTACGTGAGGGTGCAGGGGGGCTTGTTCGAGAAGCGGTGACCCTTTCGAGTTTGTCTGAGTTTCCCTGCATGTCGGGTCGTGACCCGCCTGCAGGCGTGAAGGGTGAACGGAGCGCCGGGCGCCCTGATCCTCCGGTCAGTCTGTCCACTTCCGCGACAGGTGCCCTTTCTGCTGCCGACAGTCCAGCATCCGGCTCAGTGTGGTGTTTGTGACTTTTGGGTAGAAGAGCCTGAATGCAAAGCGGCAGCACGTCTCTGGGACTTTGGCTCCCGGACGGGTGGGCCCGTTCCCGAGACCCTGTCACCCCTGCCCTTCACCCCTTCCTCAAGAGGTGGAGCCCATTGTAGCTGCCGCCCGAAGTTTCCCCTTCCGACAGGAACAGGACCGTGTGGAGCCGGTGCCCGCTGGCCCTTTGCTGTCTGGCTGGTGGCAGGTGGCGCCCTCGTGGTTGCGGTGTTGGGCGAGAGCGCAAACCCTGGCGGCCGTGCCAGGAGGTGGCGGGAAATGCTGGCGACTCAGAGCGGGCCGAACGGTGGCAGGAGCCAGCTGCCTGCGCCGTGCGGTCTTCTGGGAAGGGGCCCCGCGGGTGGAGGAGCCTGGGGGTCGTGTCCTGTGACCTTTGGCTCAACAACGCCCAAGGCCATGATTTTGAATCACTGTCCTGATTCAAGACCCTTATGAACTCGGCTCTGCTGAGCTGCTGGTGTAGCTCAAATGCAGGTGCTCCCTTTGCATCTGGATTTTCTAGAATATCGCCTTCGTGAAGGATGAGTCCTTGAAGGGCTCTCACGGGCATCAGGCTCAGCCTGGTGCCTGAGGGAGCTGGGAGGACGTCCCACCTGGAGCCACCGGGCGGACGAGCCGTAGCGTGTCCCGGGCTGCTGCAGGTCAAGGCAGACCACGTCGTGAGGCCGTGGCAGGCTGGAGCCAGAGGAGAAGGTGCTTCTGGAAGCCCCAGGAGTCGGGCAGCACTCCAGGCTCAGGCGACACAGGGAGCCCAGCAAAGGCTCGCACTCAGGATCCCCGAAGTGCGGCCCACGAGGGAGGGGGATCTCAGTGGAATGTGCCTGAGTTGGTGTGATTGCCATTTTGCTAGGCAGCCGGGGAATGTGTTTTTGCACGGCCCGTGAGCACCTCGTTGTGCTCTAGGGTTGTGCGGAAAGGAGCCTGTCCCCTCTCCGAGTGCAGGGGGCCGCCCCCAGCAGCTTACCGGAGCTCAGGCTCTTGTGCCTGTCCCATCCGCAGGGAGCCTCCGCTGCTCTGTGGTCGGTTCGCAGATGTGTAGCCGTCTCACTGGATCCTGTCTCGATTTGAACTTGAGGGTGTTTCCACCGCATGAACGCGCACTGCCCACCCCCGTGCCAATGTGGATGGCCTCTGGTTTGGGCTGTGACAGTCACCGCTGCCACACCTTCCAGCGCTTCTGGACGTGCTTCTCCTGCTGTATTCTGGAGGTGCTTCTCGGGGGTGCGGGGGTTTCCTACAGCTGCCGCGAGAAGTTACCGTGTGCCCCGTGGCCTCACTATCTTCCAGCTCTCAGAAGTCGGGGGTGGGGTGGCAGGGCTCCTGCGTTCCTTCTAGAGTCTCAGGGGAGGACATTTCCTGGCCTTCTCCAGCTTCTAGAGGCCCTGTCTTCCTTGAGTTCCCCCCCCCCACCCCCCC